GGGGGAGGAAGAGAGGAGAGGAGAGAGAGAAAGGGGAGAGAGAGATGTGAAATTCTTACTACAAGTGGAGTTTTTGTTGCGTGCTCGGTTTGGCTGTCCTATAGGACCGGAAGTGACGCAACACCGCCGGAGAGAACACTCTGGAGAGAACCAGTTCTGTCAGGAAGGTGACTAGAACGATGACGTAAGGAGACATGTCCGCAGGCAAGGTCATCTCTGGTCTTCTTCTCCTTCAGAACTACTGAACACAGAACACTTTTAGTGAATTTGGCGAAACGGATGAAAGGAATATAATGATAATAATGACAATGATAAATTGTTTATTGGTCAATCATTACCCGTGCAATCACAGCCTTTTATAATCACTGAGCTGATGCAGAGTTTACAATCACATAATACACATGATACATATAACATGTTTACTCCACACACTTTTGTGGAACTGTCACAAGGGTCTGTGCGGTTGCCATTCGGTGCCACAATTGCAAGGTGACCTCAATACGGCTATCCCCAGCTAGGTACACCTGGGTGCCTTTCCCAAGGGCACAACGTCGGGGATGTTTAAACTATGAAAGAGACAGTTTTCAGGAAACGTGAATCGTAAAAAAGGGACACTACAATTATTTTAAACAAACAACCTTGATAACCTTGCATATCTAAAAGCCGTGCCCTATTTACTGACTGTCTGTTATTCCGTTTTTTCCTGCCAATTAAGAACCATTACGTTCCACTTTTCCTCAATTAAGACTGATTTAATGATTCTCTGATTCCCTTGAAATTTAACCACAACTTATCTTTCACTGTATATACATGTAGTGAGATTATATCACTTGTTTTACATTTGTTTGTGCATCAAACCCACGCATAAGTCACAAGTAGTGTGTGACAACATGCAATGTATATATATAGGACCAACTTGAAGTGGTTTTGCTCATGTTAGTTACTTATAGGGCCTGAATTTTCCTGTCCTGAATAGCAAAGAGTATTCATGTACGTATACTAAGAAATAGATATTCAAACATGCACAGTAGTAACAACGTTGACCTACCTTGGTACCTGTCAGCTTTGAGTAAGAAAATGTCGCACCTTCAAACTTCGCAACAACACCGACCTAGCACCAGTCTCGTTAGCTTTGGTTAAAAGATTGAAGTAGGTGTACCTAAAATACAAGCTCAAAATGCAATGTATATGGTTGTACATGTGACGTGACTTACTTCAACCGTGCTCTTGTATAAGCGCTGAAGCCTCGTCAGTTTGTTGTTTGTCGTAAATCAACCTTTAACCTGTTCAAATCCCTAAAACCAGTTGGACAGGTATCACAAATGCTCTATAATATTTAGGTACCTCGGGGCATATCGTATTAGCTACCACTTCGACCCGGGTTGAAAATTGACATACTAGTAACTCGGCAATGCAAATTTTAAAATGTCTCAACTTTGCAGGGAAGTAAGTAAAAGTAATGTTGTTATATCTTTATTAAAATGATAATGCCATTTTATTATGTCATTTACTGGTAATGCACGAATACTGAAAACACAACGATAAAGGTAGAATTAGAAGGAAGATAGGCTGATGAGTGGTTGACAAATGTGTCCCATCCGGGGCGACTCTCTTGGAAATCGCGGCGATTGGAACCGGCACACAACGGGCACTTTCCACCTCTCTTATGCTTATGTCACATTTGAAACGGCGCCCGTTCGGCATGTCCTCGGTGTAGACGCCGGCCGGCGTCATGACGCCGAGCGTGCGCCGACTGCCAGGGTCACAATTAAATGTTCCTTTACGGCTCCCTGTCGGGGCCTGGTTGTGCTCCGGTCGGCGTTGAGGCGCCTTGTAATTAATATTCATAAACTTTTGGTCCCCTTGGCGGCTTGTTTCTGTCAGGGACCCATCCGGTGCCCGGTCAGTCTCCCGTCTTGACCCGTGCGGCGTGTGGTAGGGTGCCGACCGGCTCTTACAGTTCGGCCGGGCAGCTGCCAGGTCCCTGGCGGGGTCCAGGGGGATCCCGACCGGCTCCTGTCGTGTACGGACACTGATGACGGAGCTTTGTCGCGAACATCACTGATGTTTCACGACCTCCTACAACGTGTAGGCCCATCCATCGAGAAAAGTCCAGAGCAAGTGCTTTTTTTGTGAATGCCTTCTACTTCTTGACACATTTCAATGTATCCATAATGATTTATGATAACAGAAAATTTAGATATTACAGTCCAGTCTGTATGTAACACTTCTGTTTTATCCTATGCAGTGCTAAACAGCCCTTGTCAGCAGGCCTAAAACTCGCCATTACCCCACGCTTCCTGGCGACCGGGAACAGCTACCGATCCCTGGAGTTTGCCTTCAGGGTAGCCCACATGGAACACAATATCACTGTTAATTCCTGAAGTACATGTATGCCGGGCTATCGTCTCGGCTGTTTTCCGGCTTGCCCTTCGGCATTCCGACACACAAGTGCACGGTGTAACACACGCGTGTTGAACTGTCCGACGTAGTCTGAACAAGGAGTTTACATATGTCCCATAGTATAGCGTTTCGTAGCATTTGTATGTAGAATTTTAACATTCCTGGCAAGTAACTTAGTATACACTGTTTAGTAGCCATAGAACATGTTTAGTATAATTAGGTACAACTGCTCACTGTACCCTTCATGTGTATAGTCTAGCGTAATGTAGAATGTACATGTAGAGTCGAAATATTCTCTAGCCAGTAGCTATTTATAATACTCTGTCAGATACAATGTCCGTTGACCATATATATAGCATTATGTTAGACACATACCAACTAGTAATCTTATTATTTGCCATACATTGTACCCGTGACAATCGTTGTGCAATAAACTTTGACTTGACTTGACTATAACCCCATTTTCCTTACCACCTTATGCACTTATCAGCACATGTGACGTCATAATCTTAGGCAGGTGCCTGTTCGGCCGCCCGACGGGTTTCGGGCAGTGAGGTTATGGCGTCGCTTCGGCGTATTTTGCCGAACGGGGCCCGAAGTGTTTTTAACTCTGAGTTAAAATCGATTCGGCGACCGCGCGGGGCCAAAAATAGGCCGGCAGCCGTCGGGAAGCCCGCCGGTCTCCGTCCAGGTCCCGTTCGGTAGTGCCAAAAAACACGCCGAACACGCGCCGAGCGGGCCCCTTTCTTGAATTGTGACCTAAGCATAAGGGAATGAATGGACAGGCCTGTTGTTCTTCGTGTTCAGCCTGTTTTCTTAATATGACCCTGAAAGGACTTTTTAACTGCAAAAGTCCGAGTCAACTGCATGGGCGAAATCTGTCCACTGTGTCCACCCAGCTGACCGACTGTGGAACGACCCACCAAGCCGAGACCAAACTACAGATCTAGAGCACAGAAGGTGTCACTTTTCTCATCAGTGGTTCGCGAACCAACACCACACAGACGAAGTTGTTAATGACGGAAGCAAACATAAAGCATTGCCACAATGACAACAGCTCAGTAAGGATACCGACAAGTGATTCACCGGTAACGACAAATGCATCTACAACTGGTACAACTTTGCACGGGAAAGAGGAGAATAGTCACAAATACATCGCTATTTTCATTCTTGAAAAGTGTATAAGCGTGGCTTTTATTATCTGCCTCGTAAGACTCATGATAAAGAAAAAGTTGTGCTATAATTCCCGAGAAGATGCTGGCATTGGTGCAGATCGCCATGCCATCCACTTACATCAGATCGTGCCACCGATAGAAAACAATGTGTGCAACGCAACTGTTGCAGAAGGTTCGAACCCCAGACAACCTGTCGCACATCAGATTGCATTGCCGATTGAGAACACCGTGAACCAGTGCACCTCTACACAAGGCATGGATGATGAAGATTCGGTTCCCCCGGGTGAAAACCAGAGTACACCATCACCAGAAAACTCCGAAAACCACTCTTCCGTAGAGCTGTATCACGAAACTGTGGCCGTCTCGGGACAGTGTGTGGAAGTTGACCGTACACAAACTGCAGCATCTACCATATATACGTGTACGGAACCAACAATGAGCTCTACAAACTACATATACAACACTTCTGCAGAAGTTGTGAATCACGGACATCATGATGATAATGAGAATATAATATTGGAGTAGGCAGTTGAAAAGCAGCTGTTTTATCATTCAGTTCGTGGATTTGCTCAAGTTCAATGTTTAGTTGATCGTCTGGCTTGGTTTACTTAGTATGCTTTCATTTACTTTTGTTACACATCTTAGTATCTTGGTTTAGTATCCTGGTTCAATTTGTACAAATATCTACTTGATTTATGTACTAAAGTAAACTTGTACATTAGATGGCATTTAATGAAATTCTTGTCCAATTCATCATAACATCTTGACTTTTGTTCTTTAAGATACTTGATTATTAGTGGAATGGAAAAATAAACAGAAAAAAATAAAATTTGCACAGTCGCGGCAATTTCCAGTGTCTTTGTCATTTATGTTGATCATCAGTTCAATCTAGAGAAATTGATCGAATTGATTTCAGAAAAGACAAATATTACTTAGGTAGGCTTTAAATAGAAAGAGGGGAAATCTCTGTTTTATCTGTGTCTGTGCCCAGAGGCAGGGTTTCTTTTTTTAAAATTTCAGCTTTCATACCAATAGAATGTCATGATCAGTTGACGCCAGTCATACTCTCACGTTTTGTTATCAGAAAACCAATCTACAAACACCATGTTTTTCTCACTTCGAGACGAATTGGTCTGGGAGTTGAAATGTCAAACACAATTTGTAAAAGAAGAGAAGGGAAATAACTTTTTCCCGGCTTTACTCCATATGCATGTGAATGGACACAATCTATGATAAAGTCATTAAATGCGATTCTTGTCTAATTCATTATAGCAACTGGACCTTTGCTCTAGGATATCTGATTAGTAGTTGAATGGAAATATCAACAGCAAAAAAAAAAAAAAAATACTTTACAGATGCTGCAATTACCAAAGTCTTTGTCTTTTATGCTGATCAGATCAAAATAAAGAAAATGACCGAGTTGATGTTAGAAAAGAGACATAGTATTTGGGTAAGGTTTTTAGTAGGAACATTGGGTGCATTTGCGATTTATCTGACAGTGTGTCTGAGTCCCGAAGCAGTGTCACTTTTTCAATTTCAGCTTTCATGCCAATAGAATGTCAGTTGACGCCATGTCATACTCTCACGTAACGTTATCAGAGAACCAATCTACAAACACAATGTTTTTCTCACTTCAAAACAAAATAGTCTGGGAGTTTTAAAATGTCAGACAATGTTTGTAGAAGAAGAACGAGAAAATGGAAATTACTTCTTTGCCTGTGCTTTACTTAATATACATATATTTTTGTGAACCCGTATGTGGTTCGTTGTTCATGTTGCCATGACAACAGACGATAGCATATGTATGTATTCTGATGTTCACGGTTTTGATTTAAGTAGAAGACATTAGACTTTTCACAACAGTTTCTTGTTCTGTTCAATGCATGCGATCCATCTGGACAGCGAAGTACGGTACCTGTTTTACTAGCATGATACGTAGGTAAACGTTGGCTTGTTTTGCTTTCACAGAGAGATCACGGCTATTAGGAACTGTTCCAATGCTACAGTTATGATAACATTATAGGGATTTATTGTAAGTAAATGTGAGCAAATTTTAATGTTTATTAGGTTGTAGGCTTCGTTGGCAAACGATAAAAACACAGGCACTTAGTGCTTTGCCAAACAAAAGAGACATGAAATTAAGTGCAGTGTCTTTGCTCGTTACCTTGGGATTTCTGTGGACAGGATGCTTTTGTTTACCGGATAAATGTAAAGTAAAGAAGTATTTTTCTATCACTAAGGTTGACTGTAATAACCTAGGTCTCGTGGCGGTGCCTGTCGATATACCGTCCAATGCTGCACGGTTTGATATCGCGCACAACAACATCAGAAACGTTACGTACCTGCCGCCACTGCCGAAACTGATAACACTGGACCTTCGCAATAATTCCATTGAAACTGTATCCTGGATGGCTCTAACTTTGCCAGCTTTAAACATACTTTTACTACAAGGGAACCAACTGAAGTATGTAAAGATCGGCGTCGTGCTTGCGCATCTCCCGAAGCTGGTTTATATAAATCTAAGTATGAACAAACTTGTATCATTCTCTCAATACGAACTGGAATGGCCACCGTTGTTCACAGTAGCAATTTCCAAAAACCCCTTTCACTGTGACTGTGACCTGTCCTGGCTGATTATCAAGATGACGTGTTTAAAAGCCTGTAAGGGGGACCAACGAAAGGAGTGTTGTTCTTCATGTTCAGCCTGTTTTCTTCATATGCCTCGCAACGGAATGTTTTACTGCTCAAGTCCGACTCAGCTGCGAGGGCGCCATTTGTCCACTGTGTCCACCGAGCTGACGCACTGTGGAACGACCCACATCAACGGTTCGGGAACCTGTGCCACACAGACGCACTGGTTGTTCATGACGAAATCAAACATAAAGCATTCCTACGAGAACGACAGCTCAGTAACGATACCAAAGAGTGAATCACCGGTAACGACCAGTGCTTCTACAACTGGTAAATCTTCTAACACGAAAGAGGAAAATAGTCACAAATACATCACTATTACTGTGATTGTAACGTGCCTGACCGTTGCCTTTCTCGCCTGCTCTGTACTGCTCACGATAAAGAAAAGGCTGTGCTGCAAGTGGCACAATCGCCGAGAAGCTGCAGGCATTGGAGCAGATCGCCATGCCATCCAATCACATCAGATCGTGCCACCGATAGAAAACAATGTGTGCAACGAAACTGTTGCAGAAGGTTCGAACCCCAGACAGCCAGTTGCACATCAGATTGCATTACCGATTGAGAACACCGTGAACCAGCTGCAGTGCACCTCTACACAAGGCATGGATGATGAAGATTCGGTTCCCCCGGGTGAAAACCAGAGTACACCATCACCAGAAAACTCCGAAAACCACTCTGCCGTAGAGCTGTATCACGAAACTGTGGCCGTCTCGGGACAGTGTGTGGAAGTTGACCGTACACAAACTGCAGCATCTACCATATATACGTGTACGGAACCGACAGCAAGCTCTACAAACTACATGTACAACACTTCTGCAGAAGTTGTGAATCACGGACATCGTGATGGTAATGAGAATAATGAACAAATGGAGTAGGCAGTTGAAAGCACCTGTTTTATCATTCAGTTCGTGGATTTGCTCAAGTTCATTCTTTAGTTGATCGTCTGGCTTGGTTTACTTAGAATGCTTTCATTACCTTCGCCAAGAAGGTTATGTTTTCAGGGGCGTTCGTGTATGTGTGTGTGTGTGTGTGTGTCTGTCTGTCTGTCTGTCTGTCAACACGATAACTTGAGAAGGACTTAATGGATTGTCTTGATACTTGGTAGATGGGTAGGTCTTGATGAGACCTCAAAATGATTAGATTTTGGACCCCCTAGCGGCTTGTTATGGTACTGCAGCTGAACTTCCGGTTTTGATATCTCAAGATCCAGACATGCTATGGTGATGAAATTTGGATGGTAGGTAGCTCTTGTGCTGGGGAAGAAGTGACGTGAGTTTGGGCCCCCTAGTTGCTTGCTCTAGAACTGCAGGGGGGTTTAAAGGACAAATGTTTAAAAGAGGATAACTCAAGAACCGATTGATGGATCATCGTGATTTTTGGTATTTAGGTAGCTTAAGTGATGCTTGACATATTGATATTACAATTATGCGAATATTGATGTAATTTGCATAATTAATGAGGAAATTCTATAAATCAGCTGCATTCCATGATAGGAAGTTCAAGCTTGTAACATATGTTATTAAGAACGAGAAAAACACAGGCAAATATTGATTATGCAAATGAAGACTTAATTTGCATAATTAATGAGAAAATGTTATAATTGCGTAGTGGTAACTGCCTGGAATTTCATACTTGGGGTGTTTGAAAGTTAAGTGAAGGTGAACATAATTAAACATAACTTATTCAAATAAGGACCACATTTGCATAATTTATGAGAAAATGGCATTCTTTGTTAAGATAAGACTGTCTTTTGGTGGAGAATATGATCAACAGACTGATGTAATTCATGCAATTGAGGATCCTATTTGCATAATCAAGGTGATTAGTATATTTCTTATTCATAAAGGCTAACATCATTTGGCGAAGGTATGAGATCGTGGAACTCTAGTTTACTTTTGTTACACATTTTAGTATCTTGGTTCAATTTGTACAAATATCTACTTGATTCATGTACTAAAGTAAACTTGTACATTAGATGGCATTGAATGAAATTCTTGTGCACTTCTTTTTAACATCTTGACTTTTGTTCTTTAAGATATCTGATTATTAGTGGAATGGAAAAATAAACAGAAAAAATAAACTTTGCATAGTTGCGGCAATTTCAGTGTCTGTCATTTATGTTGATCATCAGTTCAATCTAGAGAAATTGATCGAATTGATTTCAGAAAAGACAAATATTACTTAGGTAGGCTTTAAGTAGAAAGAGGGGAAATTTCTGTTTTATCTGTGTCTGTGCCCAGAGGCAGGGTTTCTTTTTTAAATTTAGGCTTTTATACCAATAGAATGTCAGTTGAGGCCATGTCATACTCTCACGTTTCGTTATCAGAGAACCAATCTACAAACACCATGTTTTTCTCACTTCGAGACGAATTGGTCTGGGACTTGAAATGTCAGACACAATTTGTAAAAGAAGAGAAGGGAAATAACTTTTTGTCTGGCTTTACTCTATATGCATGTGAATGGACACAATCTATGATAGACATTAAATGCGATTCTTGTCTAATTCATTATAGTAACTGGACCTTTGCTCTAAGGATATCTGATTAGTAGTTGAATGGAAATATTAACAGCAAAAAATACTTTACAGATGTTGCAATTACCAAAGTCTTCGTCTTTTATGTTGATCAGATCAAAATAAAGAAAATGACTGAGTTGATGTTAGAAAAGAGACATCGATAGCATTTGGGTAAGGTTTTTAGTAAGAACATTGGGTGAATTTGCGTTTTATCTGACAGTGTGTCTGAGTCCCGAAGCAGTATCACTTTTTCAATTTCAGCTTTTATACCAATAGAATGTCAGTTGACGCCATGTCATACTCTCACGTAACGTTATCAGAGAACCAATCTACAAACACCATGTTTTTCTCACTTAAAAACAAAATGGTCTGGGAGTTTTAAAATGTCAGACAATGTTTCTAGAAGAACAGAGAAAATGGAAATAACTTCTTTGCCTGTGCTTTACTTAATATACATATACTTTTGTGAACCCGTTTGTGGTTCGTTGTTCATGTTGCCATGACAACAGACGATAGCATATGTATGTATTCTGATGTTCACGGTTTTGCTTTAAGTAGAAGACATTAGACTTTTCACAACAGTTTCTTGTTCTGTTCAATGCATGCGATCCATCTGGACAGCGAAGTACAGTACCTGTTTTACTAGCATGATACGTAGGTAAACGTTGTCTTGTTTTGCTTTCACAGAGAGATCACGGCTATTAGGAACTGTTCCAATGCTACAGTTATGATAACATTATAGGGATTTATTGTAAGTAAATGTGAGCAAATTTTAATGTTTATTAGGTTGTAGGCTTCGTTGGCAAACGATAAAAACACAGGCACTAAGTGCTTTGCCAAACAAAAGAGACATGAAATTAAGTGCAGTGACTTTGCTCGTTACCCTGGGATTTCTGTGGACAGGATGCTTTTGTTTACCGGATAAATGTAAAGTAAAGAAGTATTTTTCTATCACTAAGGTTGACTGTAATAAGCTAGGTCTCGTGGCGGTGCCTGTCGATATACCGTCCGACGCTGGGCGGTTTTATATCGCGCACAACAACATCAGAAACGTTACGTACCTGCCGCCACTGCCGAAACTGATAACACTGGACCTTCGCAATAATTCCATTGAAACTGTATCCTGGATGGCTCTAACTTTGCCAGCTTTAAACTTACTTCTTCTACAAGGGAACCAACTGAAGTATGTAAAGATCGACGTCGTGCTTGCGCATCTCCCGAAGCTGATTTATATAAATCTAAGTATGAACAAACTTGTATCATTCTCTCAATACGAACTGGAATGGCCACCGATGTTCACAGTAGCAATTTCCAACAACCCATTTCACTGTGACTGTGAGCTGTCCTGGCTGATTATCAAGATGACGTGTTTAAAAGCCTGTAAGGGGGACCAACGAAAGGACCGTTGTTCTTCATGTTCAGCCTGCTTTCTTCATATGCCTCGCAACGGAATGTTTAACTGCTCAAGTCCGAGTCAGCTGCGTGGGCGCCATTTGTCCACTGTGTCCGCCGAGCTGACGCACTGTGGAACGACCCACATCAATGGTTCGGGAACCTGTGCCACACAGACGCACTGGTTGTTCATGACGAAATCAAACATAAAGCATTCCTACGAGAACGACAGCTCAGTAACGATACCAAAGAGTGAATCACTGGTAACGACCAGTGCTTCTACAACTGGTAAATCTTCTAACACGAAAGAGGAAAATAGTCACAAATACATCACTGTGATTGTAGCGTGCCTGACCGTTGCCTTTCTCGCCTGCTCTGTACTGCTCACGATAAAGAAAAGGCTGTGCTGCAAGTGGCACAATCGCCGAGAAGCTGCAGGCATTGGAGCAGATCGCCATGCCATCAACTCACATCAGATCGTGCCACCGATAGAAAGCAATGTGTGCAACGAAACTGTTGTTGCAGAAGGTTCGAATCCCAGACAGCCAGTTGCACATCAGATTGCATTACCGATTGAGAACACCGTGAACCAGTGCACCTCTACACAAGGCATGGATGATGAAGATTCGGTTCCCCCGGGTGAAAACCAGAGTACACCATCACCAGAAACCAACACCATCACTATGACCGTCTCGGAACAGTGTGTGGAAGTTGACCGTACACAAACTGCAGCATCTACCATATATACATGTACGAAACCAACAATGAGCTCTACAAACTACATGTACAACACTTCTGCAGAAGTTGTGAATCACGGACATATAGAATAATTGGAGTAGGCAGTTGAAAGCACCTGTTTTATCATTCAGTTCGTGGATTTGCTCAAGTTCAATGTTTAGTTGATGACCTGGCCTCGTTTACATAGTATGATTTCATGGGTGTCACCAAAGGAGCCATCGCGTTTCTGAAGTGAAACTGCCGGTAAGGTTTTCCTGATGAAAGAAGACAGTACAAGACATATCTTTAGTATTTACATGCATGAACCAAATTTTTAAGACTTTCCAAAACAATATTATCCCATTATTTTACTCACATTTTTACTTGACCTTACCCAAAATACACAAAAGAATGTACTAGGTATGTTTGTAAGAAAACATATTTGTTCAAATGAAAATTCAATACATAATTAAGTGAAAACTAATTCTTCGCGGCTGTTTTCAGTTCAAACATGACTGGAAACACACAAAAGACTTCCAGTCAAAAATGAATATTCTACAGCGTTGAGGGGTTTGGAAGCAGACGCGTTGTCATACTTTCAGGTACTGTAATCAACCAACCCATCAGCCCCTCACGTCGGGTGAGTATGTCTACCTGGCGCACATGTCTAGCCCGTATGTTGTTTCGTTACGTATGCATGGATGCCACGTCACTGCCTTTGCTTAAAATAGAAGACAGTCAAATCAACGGTCTCATATTAGCTTCTTCTCCAGCACGATTCACCGGGACAGGAAAGTACATTATTTTGCTGTTTCACTGAAATAATACCCATCGATCAAAAACTTTGTATTTCTGTTTAGTACTGTCTTAATATTAAGTACATAAATCAGGAAGCCACAAGGTGTGCTGTCCTAATGCTAAAATTATAATAATATTTAATGTCTATCATCAGCCTGTAGGCTTTGTTTTCAAACGCTGAAGACCGTAGGGGTGAAACGCTTTGAAATTCAAAGTCTGCCAAAGGAAACACAAAACCATGAAAGTAAGTACACGGTCTTTTCTCGTTACGCTGGGACTTCTGTGTACAGGATGTTTTTGTTTACCGGATAAATGTAAAGTAAGGGAGGATATTTACCTCTCTACGGTGTTAGTTGACTGTAATAACCTAGGTCTCGTGGCGGTGCCTGGCGATATACCGCCCAACGCTGCACAGTTTGATATCGCGTTCAACAAATTAAGAAACGTTACGTACCTGCCGCCACTGTCACAACTAAGAACACTGGACCTGAGCTATAATTCTATTGAAAGTGTATCCTGGATGTCTCTGCAGACTTTGCCAGCTTTAAGATATCTTGAGATACAAGGGAACCAACTGAAGTACGTACAGCTCGACATTGTCATTGCAAACCTCCCAAAGCTGGAATATGTAAATCTAAGTATGAACAAACTTGCATCATTCTCTCAGTACGCTCTGGGAAGGCCACAGGTGATCGAATTAGTAATCAACAATAACCCCTTTCACTGTGACTGTCACCTGTCCTGGCTGATCACGAAGATGGCGTGTTTACAAGCCTGTAAGGGAAAAGACAGACAGGCTTGTTGTTCTTCATGTTCAGTCTGTTTTATTCGTAATAGAAGTCCACACGCACGTTATAACTGCTTAAGTCCGAGTCAACTGCGAGGGCGCCATTTGGCCACTGTGTCCACCCAGCTGAGGGACTGTGGAACGACCCAACAAGCCGAGACCAAACCACAGAGCACAGAAGATGGCACTTTTCTCATCAACGGTTCGGGAACCAACACCACACAGGGCCCATCATTGGAGAAAGAACCGTACACGAACCATAGCTCAGCAAGGGTGTCAACAATTACTACACCTACCATTGCTTCAAAATCTGTAAAGTCTATGAGTAGGCACGAAGAAAAGAATAACCAATACATTGTTGTTTTCATTATTGAAAAATGTATGACAGTAGTTTTTATTTCATGCCTCGTCCGGCTCATAGTGAGGAAAAATTTGTGTTGTAATCGCCGGGAAAATACTAACAAGGACGCAGATCACCACTCTTCTATTAACTTAAATCAGATCGTGCCACCGATAGAAAACATTTCATACTGCAAAACTGTTGCAGGAGGTTCAAACCCCAGACAACCAGTTGCACATAGAATTACACCTACGTCACCGATAGTGAACTCAGCGAACCAGTGCACATCTAACCAAGGTTTGGATGGCAGGTCTTTGGTTTCCCCGGGTGAAAACCAGAGTACAACATCACTAGAAAACTCGGAAAACTCCAACATGACCGTTTCGCACAACACAGAGTGCAATGCGGAACATATTAACCATCCAAGAAATGCAGCATGTATCCTGTATAAAGGTATGGTTCCAATAATAAGCTCTACATGCTCCATGTACAACATTTCAGAAGGCCAATGAGTCGCGAAAACACAACCTTTGTGATAATGACAATAGAGAATATAGTAGGCTGCAGTTGTAAGGCCACACCAAGTAAATTTTATGGATGACGTCCTTTGGAGACTCTAAATCTAATGCGAGAGGGCGAAAAAAACAAGAAGGGCCCTAAAAACAAGATGCCTAGATTAGAAATATACTAAGAGACGACAAATGTTAGGACACAAATTGAATGAGGTGACACAGTGTAACAAGCAAGAAAACTTTTATTCATCATCAAAACAGCGATAAGTCAGGTGGAACAGCAGTTGTCGTCCTGTCCTGTTTTCGCGTTACGGGTTTCACGTCAATCTGACGATTTGCAGCACTGTCATGACTCTTTGGTCATAGTTACAGGAAGCGGAATTTCTTGTTTGTTTTTTTCTAGGAACAGGCCAAAATCAATGCGCGCGCGGACGTCATCCATAAAATTTACTTGGTGTGGCCTAAGCTACAATGTCATCATTCAGCCCTTGTGTTTCTTAGAATTAATTCTTTAGTTGATCCTCTGGCATTATTTAATGTAACAACAGGACATTTAGTTTTGTTGGAATAATCTGATATTGTTTCATATTGTTTCAACCGGACAGTGAGTGAGTGAGTGAGAAACACTGATATTTTGAAAGACTTTACCTAAATACCACATTGCAGATTTACAGAGCCTGAATTGAGTGGGTACTTACATTCAATCTTTTACGTAGGGCCACACCAAGTAAATTTTATGGATGACGTCCTTTGGAGACTCTAAATCTAATGCGAGAGGGCGAAAAAAACAAGAAGGGCCCTAAAAACAAGATGCCTAGATTAGAAATATACTAAGAGACGACAAATGTTAGGACACAAATTGAATGAGGTGACACAGTGTAACAAGCAAGAAGTCATTTATTCATCATCAAAACAGCAATAAATCAGGTGGAACAGCAGTTGTCGTCCTGTCCTGTTCTCGCGTTACGGGTTTCAGGTCAATCTGACAATTTGCGGCACTGTCGTGACTCTTTGGACATAGTTACAGGAAGTGGAATTTCTTGTTTTTTTTCTAGGAACAGGCCAAAATCAATGCGCGTCATCCATAAAATTTACTTGGTGTGGCCTAGCCAGTAAAAACTTAACTGTCCATAGAAACTTTAGTAATACATTTTATCTGTACCAAAAGAAGCATTTTCAAATTATCGTTGGTTACTTCCTATTGATAATAGGTTCTTGATATTAACTTTTCCTCTTATTCTTTTATTCTTGTTATATTAACACATTTTCTAGTGCATAATTGTGAGGATGGTGTACAAACTGTAATTGTACACTTGATGAGATTGGAATAATTGGAGGTAATTATTGTTGGTTACTTTCTATTGATGATAGGTTGATATTAACTTTTTCTCTTATTCTTTTATTCCTCTTATATTAGCACATTTTCCAGTGCATTATTGTGACGATGGTGTAAAAAATATAATTGTACACTTGATGAGATTTGATGTGATTCTTTACTGTAAGATTGTAACAACTGCACGTTTGATCTTTTGATTATTAATGAAATGTAAACATCAACATTTTGAAGGAATAAATTTTGCACAGCACTTGAAATGTTAAGTGTTTGTCTTTTCTGTCGTTCAGAATGTAGCATATCCTATGAGTGAAAATATTACAATTGATATCAGGAAAGAAACAAAGTATTTTGGTAGATTCTCAAGGGGGTGGCATATCCGATTGTCTGTGCCCAGATATAGGATTCCTTTTTTTTTTCAATTTCAGCTTTCATAACAATCGTAGCCTCAAGTTATGTAGGGCCACACCAAATAAATTTTATGGATGACGTCCTTTGGAGACCCTAAATCTAATGCGAGAGGGCGAAAAAAAAACAAGAAGGGCCCTAAAAAATAAGAGGCCTAGATCAGAAAAATATTAAGAGACGACAAATGTTAGGACACAAATTGAATGAAGTGACACAGTGTAACAAGCAAGAAGTCTTTTATTCATCACCAAAACAGCAATAAATCAGGTGGAACAGCAGTTGTCGTCCTGTCCTGTTTCCGCGTTACAGGTTTCACGTCAATCTGACGATTTGCGGCACTGTCCTGACTCTTTGGTCATAATTATAGGAAGCGGAATTTCTTTTTCTTGGTGTGGCCTAGTCAGAGAACCAATCTACAATCCACACGTTTCATTTTCTCCAAGACGAATTGGTCTGCACGGAATGGGAGCATCGGAGACAATTTCTAGAAGAAGAGTAGAGAAAGCTACATATTAATGTGCGTGCTTTGCTTCATATGCGCATATCTTTTTGCAGCTCCAATACTAACAATACATGTATAATACTATAACAGAGGAAAGCAAACGTTCGCCGTTTCCCCCTAAATTTTACATCTGAAACTAAATTTCACGCACCAGGTGATACTATTGAGTTTAATTGAGAATATCCTTGTAACAATACACAAAGAACACAAAAACTAGAAGTAGATAATTTACCTTTAGTATAGTACTGTGGCGAATGTAGCCGGCAGCCATTTTCCTTGTCCTTGGTGCTGAATCGCCTTCATGTAAATTAACCACGCTATTTTACCAATTTACCGCCGTCCTAAAGAGTTTAACACCTTACCAAGGCTTCCTTTTTGCGACTTTATGTTTTTCCAGTTTGCTACCGATTTAATTATCGTCACCTTGACCAAAACAATGCTCAGAAAACCCCGTAGTTTTACGTGTGAAATTCGGCCAAACAATAACAAAGTTAACTATGCTAGTGTTCTGCTGCCCTCTTCTTGTTCTGACTCCCTTGTGCGGACACCAAAAAGTAGGTGATCAACAGAGCCCGAGTTACCAGTAAGTACTGTATTTTACATGACCAGTTTTCAACTCTGGGTGGAAACGTTGTAGAGCTATATTTTGAAGTGAGAGCTAGACAATTTTACGGTGCGAACCGGGTTCTTGGTGGACGTTGCCGTATATATATGGGGGAGGGGGGTGTTTCAGTTGTCATAGCGACGCTCTGTAAACGTTCGAAGCGTTGCGAAGAACGTCAAAATTCTTGGAGGTCTGTGTAAGAGTTACAGGAACCCAAAATACTTATCAGAAGTCTGAAATGTTTGATTTCTTGTTTGTGACAATATGTTTTTCTCTGTTGATGTAGGCACTTCACTTGGAAGGTCCTTTCGTGCCTTGTCATGATCAGAGAGCCGAGAGTTTGTCAATTGGCATCATAAAATTGATTTTTTTCTACATCGTCAAATGGTTATCCCAGGGAGGCTGACAATTTAAGGTGTAATATCTTTTGTCTTCGTTATCCTCCGTGTCCATTTTGATACCCTTATGTGTCCTGAACAACAGTTTATTGATTCAATTAATGGTAATGATAATGTTTGCTATCATTCACATTGTCACATTGCCATATTTCTAATTGGTAGACTCAATTGAAATAGTTTAATGGTCCTCATAGCACAACCTTTCTTATTATTACTGTAAAGTTGTAATTTCTCTCTAGTACGTTGTACTCTGTACATTCGTGCATTTATCCCCCCGGGAATGAACATGCAATAAATAAAAGTTTCAGTTATACCATGTCCGCCCGTCGAAGCGCCGCCTACATTCATGTATATCACATCTTGTCCGTTATAAGGAAGTTAAAGATATATACAAACATCATATGAAAAAGACACACGCATGTGAATTTGACAACATTTGTGAAAGGCGTCCATTTGATTTCATTTATTTAATTTTTATTGGTATTATAACAATACAAAACACGTGGTGTCGTGGCCTACACACAAAACATTACAGAACACATAATACTATATATATACTGAAAATAATTAGTCCCTACCTATCACAAAGAAGACAATAAATTCACTCTAAAAACAGCATAATCAAATACAGTCTAACTACTAATGCCAGTCCATTTCCATCGTCCGGGACGTCGACTGATTTTCTTGCCATCCTAGTTATTACACGGGGAAACATCTATGAAAACCGACTGACGAACTAGCAAATTGTCTCTTCTGTCTTTGGTGTTAGTCAATGTCCTCCCCAATTTCCCCCGAAATGGAAGCTGCTTCATGGGGATTTCCTCCAAACCGGGCGCCGATGTCTTGTCAATGTTCTCCCAGGCCACAAGCCTCCTGCCCCCGCTGCCAGCCCGTGCCTGTACGGGTGGTGTCCTGACATCCACCCGACCTACAGGTACCACGGCCAGCACACACGTACGTACGGCCACGATGACCCTCTTCTTGGGCCACGTTCCGGTTCGACTGATTTTCTTGCCATCTTGACTATTACACGGGGAAACATCTATAAAAATCGACTGACGAACTAGCAAACTGTCTCTTCTGTGTGCTCTGTGGTGTTAGTCAATGTCCTGCCCATTTCCCGCGAAGCTGCTATGGGGATTTCTTCCAAACCGGGCGCCGATGTCTTGTCAATGTTCTCCCAGGCCACAAGCCTCCTGTCCCCGCTGCCAGCCCGTGCCTGTACGGGCGGTGTCCTGACATCCACCCGCCCGGCTGGTAGTGCAGTCAGCGCACACGTACGTACGGCCACGATGACTTTCTTTGCTTCCTCCCGGAACGCCCTGTTCAGCCCGCTGTAGATGAAGACGTTGAGGATCCCGTTACACCCGTACAGCCACAGCAGGGCGAACTCCACGTCAGGGTGGGTCGGGTACTCCAACATGTGCTGCCAGACGGCCAGGGCGCAGTACGGCACCCACGTCAGGCAGAACGCGAAGGTGATGGCGGCCGTCGTCTTGGCGCCCTGAAGCTTTAGAATGAATGAAGACCTTTATTGTACCCACTGGATTAAGTACAGGTCACAACAAAAGGATGGAATACAGATAACGTTACATATATATATACATCGTTAAGTAGCTATAATTGAGTAATTAAGTAAATTCGGTTTCTTCTCGTTTCTTAGTAATGGCAAAAAGGTAAGAACAGGTATGTTTCAATATAGAAGGTTTGTCTAAGCTCATTAGAAATATATAAATTTATCTGTACAGCTTAGATATATGAAGAAGGGGAACATAGATTGTATCAGATTATAAAGATCTACTCTCTCTTTGTTGTATAGTTTATATTCTGTTACAAAATGTTTCTCATCTTCCATTCTTCCTAGATCACAGTACCGACATATTCATTGTTCTAGGGGAGAGCGCACTCTTTCTAAACTTTGTTTATACTTATAAAACTCTAATTAACGTTAAATCGTGATAATTAGACTTATTTCTTTTCACCTTGTCTTCCGTAGCCTTCGGGTTGTAGTGGTAGATGTTCTTGAGATGACGCAGGGCGACGGCGTACACTTTACAGTGCAGCACGCCCACCACCAGGACTACAGAAGCCAGGAACGCGATGGCGAACCCCAGTGGAACCACTCCGCCGAAGTCCAGAGCACACAGCATGGCGTTGGGCAAGTAGCGAAACCTACAGGAACGAAAATTAATGGAGCCATGTAACTTGTTGTTTTGTTGTTTATTTATTCGCAGTTTAATTAAAAATAATAACGTTAAATACATAAGCAAGTATACATGAATATCAATGAGATATAACAGTGCAAGGAAAGCCGATATACTAAACGCCTCCCTTTTAATATCAACCTACAAAAAAAACTAATTCAATCAATTAAACAAAAGTTGGGTAATAGATATAATAAATGGGAAAAATTGTGAGAACTAAGCACAATGTAGAAGAATACAGTAATCTTATAACAGTAAATTGAAAGTTTTGTCGTCAAAAATGAACTGATACCTCCGTGAACTATCGGAAGTATCTATTTTTAGTAACAGTGCCAGATAGTGAAGCGACCAGAATAGGATTGAACCGGAGCTAGAATATCTGTATCTCTATATCGGTGGTATAACCGCACTTCGGTGAAACACATCAGCTTCAGCCTCTCGGCGTAACACATGTACATCACCTTCGCATGCATGCGGCGCGGCGTCAGCTGGCTTTATCACACCGAACGACCTGTTGCACCTGACATTTTTTACATCTAATTGCAGGAGTTGTTCAACGCCATCTAGGATTCCAGTCTGAAGACTCACCTCCCATCGCCGAAGATGGAGACAGCGAAGCTAACAGCGGGGAGAACCCAGGCCGCCGTTATCATGGCCGTGCACAGCTTCGGGCCCATGATGCTCTGGTACCTTTTCATACAGAGACAGAGACACCGTTGTTGGGTGATGAGATAACCTTTTCTGGGACCTTTGACCTAATCCACTGTCAGTGTGCTCGATGTGTCTAGAGTTTGAAAATAGCTACAGAAAATAGCGACATCATAAACGTTGTTGAACAGGAAATTATACCTATATTGCGCTAAGTTTACTACCAACTATTACAACATCCATTTATCGCTGAAACAACTCTGAATTGTACAAATGGTTTTGATTCAGTGGGAACACATAAAAGGAATGAAATACTTCACTGCATCAAAGTAAAAGTCAAAACTGTACAATAAATCAGAGTCCTGTCTTGTCTCCTCTCTTCATATTTATCTGCCATCCACATTTTTGCCCATTTTTGGCATGTTGACCACTGTCAAAATTTCTTGTTTTTTTTTCAAAATCAGACGAAAATCAATGCGCGCGTTGATGTCATCCATAAAATTAAAATTAACTTGCTGTGGCCTAAAAAAAAGAAACAGGAAGTCTTACTTCATGGCGTGGACGATGAGGATGTACCGATTGACGGCCAGGCCGACCAATGAGAGAGTAGAAGCCAGTGCGCAGACGCTGGAAAAGTATGTCGTCACCTACAAGGTCAAAATTCAGGAAAAATAACAAAATTACAGTAAGAAACAAAAACGTTTCTGTCAAGACAGAATTTTTTACCAAACTAGGAATGCCTAGACCCTACCTATTTCTTCTAACCCTAAAAGTCTCCAGACTTGAACAAAAATCTCAAGGAAAAAAGGTATTCAATAATATTATAACATCACTCGTTTAAAATCCTTTTTCCTTGAATATAATGGTTCCCAGTGCTTGCTGCGAAACGCAACTGTAACGCCAACTCTTAAATAGCCATTATTATTTTAATCTTACAACATTTCATGACTAGACATGCTGACGGCACACTCATGTTATATCAACGTAATTTATGCCGCAACGCAGAGGGCAAATACAGGACAGGACAATATTCATTTTCACTTGAGTTACATGTAAGTGAGGAAATTCATGATAAGTGCCTTTCCCAAGGGCGCAAGATACATGTAGGTGGCATATCACTTATCAGGACTCGAACCCGGGGCCTCTTGGTTCGAGCACTCTGCCGTTACGCCACACGACCCCATAATAGCCATTAAATAACATCATTAAGACACATTTCACAGAATCCATGGTTACTATTTGTGACTCTGTCCCGATAATTTCTTTGGCAAATTATATGCCCCATCTTGGCAATAACCATAATTTAGATGCCATACTGTATTCTAGTGACCGCGTAACACCTCGGACAAATCATGTACTGTATTTCTCTAATCTGCGTAATGTTTGTACCATGGAACGGCATATTTGCAAGACGACGCACTTGGATACAGCATACACAATGTAGTGCCGTATGATGTTGGAATAAATTAGGCCGAGCGTTTCGAAACATACAGAATATGTTGCTTAGAAGTATCGTATTCAAGCTGATGTGTTACGCCGAAGTGGGTTATACCAGCTATACAGATGCAGACAGATATTCCTAGATGACTAACCTTCATAAATGTATACAGAATGTTAGAGCTTTCTAATCTGAAATTGTCATCTCGTCTCTAGCTTTGCTAAATTCAATGGGGTAGATCCCACGAGACAAAACCCCCTCCCATTTCGTGGAAAGGACACCATCCTAGTTTGTACCCACACAACCTGTAGAGCCTTAGTGTGGAATAATACGATTTCTCGTACAACGAGACAATCGCAGATCCGACACAACTATTTCCTTTAAAAGTCTTGCAGCTGAATATTGTACGACAAAACCACAACAATGCGTCTGTCCTCAATTTGCAGTCGTATGTCTATCGTACGATGTACGCTTTACTCACCATACAGAGCGTCTGTCCGTACGTCCAGTGGCCTGTCCAGGCCGGCCGGACGCTGAAGGGGATGACCAGGAGACCCGGTAACATGTCGGCGCACGCCAGGGAGACGGTCAGGTAGCCCGTGTAGTTCCTCAGCGCCGCGGACCTCAGGATCACCACCACCACGAAGACGTTCCCCAGGACGAGCCCCAGCCCGATCAGGCTGACGAGCGTCGCCTTCAGCTCGGCGGGGAGAACCGTGAGCCAGCCCGCCTCGGCCGGTGAGGTGTCCGTCGCCGTACCGTTCGTATCACCTGCCAGCCCGGTCCCGTTCATGATCCCAGCTAGGCTATCCTACACTTCAGCACCGAAGCCTTCCCAATGTCCAACGATGGTTGGAAATGCACATTTATATACCCTTTCCTCACACGTTATAAAATCTTTTCTTTCGCGTGTTACACAACGTGGTATATCGTTTGATTGAAAATCCATCGAGGGCCTATAATATGCAACTCTTCAAAAGGAATGGCCAGGAGAAGAAAACAATCTGCCCTTTCAAACTGTTGATTCCATCAAGTCTACCGATTGTGGTTAATAACTCAATCTTGTTTCAACTCACAGCGATCGCATTTTGTGTGATGCCGCAAATTAAAATTCAATTATTTTCGATGGTTGCATAATAATAGAATTATTCCTGTGAATCACACGTTCGGTAATCTTGTCATGGCTCAAAGAAAATGACATGATTGCGTGTTTTGAAAACGTTGATGAAACACTCTATATGACTGAACAATCGTCCATTAATTCTACTTATGCAATGATACAATGATGTTTTGTAAGAATCTTATCTAAAGGTTCAGATGGATTCGAGTACCTAGCAGGTCTCAGTGTTGTGAAAGTGATCTCGAACCAGTTTAGCTCACTGAAGAACTAAGGCCATGTTGATTTGATTATATATGGATGACATCCGCGCGCGCATGAATTTTCGGCCGTTTCAAAAAAAAAAAGTTTTCAACCATACTGTAAATCGTACAAAACAGTTGCAAAATGAGCAAAAATATACCGTAAGTTACCAAAAAAACCATACCAATGTCGTAGAATGCCAAAATCAAACGAAAAAAGACGAAATTGTAAAGAAATGAACTTAAAGACTAGATTATTCGCCAAACCATATTCTGTCCCATTTGTTCAACCCTCATGACCACGTAGATTTCATAATGAAAACAACTTTTTTTTTTGCAAAACTTTTTTTTTTATTCGCACGCGCGCATCAATTTTGGGGTTCCCGGAGGATGTCATACATATAATCAAATCAACATGGCCTAATCTTCTATTGGTCGTGACAGAGAAGACAGACGTTAATTGAGCAGTGGACCACAGCTTAACGTCCCATCCTAAGGACTGCGACCCTAAACAGTAGCGTGCGTGTTAGGTGAGCGACATCAGCCCTTAGGAATAAAGGCACTTTACACACCTTTCCTCACTTCGCTCAGGTGAAAGTATTGTATTGTCCCGTGTTGGTGGCGGCATTAATATAAGTTTAAAAAAACTTGCTTGAGTGTGCCCTCACCACGTCTTGTGATTACATGTTGGAATATATAAAAAAAGTGCCAGTGCTCAAAGTAACAGTGCCAGTGTTTGGACACAGTATCAACGATAACCCGAAAGGCCCGGTGGGTGTCTGGGGATCGAACCCGGGACCTCTTGGTTCCGAGCCGATCTTTTTACTATTACGCCACACGATGCCAGATAGAGACTAAATAATAAATGAAAGACCTTTATTGTACGTTTATGCTCTAACAAGCTAAGTACAGGTCGTCATGAATGGACAAGGAAAAGGATACAGCAATGATACTTAAACTATACATACTAATGTGATCTACTATTTACATGTTCAACTTCTTCTCGCTTCTTGACGCAGTTATAGGCGTACGAGGATATAGAACTAATGACACATGGTTTGTCAAGTTTTAATGAATGAATTAAGACTTTTATTGCACATTTCTGCCACACTTGGCTAAGTACAGGTCACAACAAAACAAGATGAACGGACACTGTTAACAGATACAAAATTAACTAACTATCGTTATATACATTCAACTTCTGCTCGCTTTACAGTTATTGTAGAAATAAAGGTACAGATCTGTTTTTCGATGGGGTGGTTTGTCCAGTCGCATTAGGAATATGAATTTTTGATAGCGAGGTGACTCAAAGTCCAGTTTGGTGTGGTCCAAACTCGCTGATAATGTCCAGCTCTCTGACAATGTCCAGTTCTTTCATGAGGATGTCCTCCTTGGTTTGTGTTGGAGTGGTGTCGACTGTTCGTGCGCTGGAACCGGTGATGCCAGAACGGGCTTGTGGGGAGGGCGATGTGATGGCGTCCTCTCTACGGGGCCCGGTGGCTTCATTCAGGCACTGCAGCACGGAGGTACAGAGGGAGGCGAGCAGCTTCTTGGCCTGTTCACGGAACGCCCTGTTCAGCCCGCTGTAGATGAAGACGTTGACGATCCCGTGGCAGGGGAAAAGCCACAGCAGGGCGAACTCCACGTCAGGGTGGGTCGGGTACTCCAACATGTGCTGCCAGACGGCCAGGACGCAGTACGGCACCCACGTCAGGCAGAACGCGAAGGTGATGGCGGCCGTCGTCTTGGCGCCCTGAAGCTTTAAAAGAGAGATAGATTTTTTTTCACGCGCACCGTTTGAAATACACTTCAGTTTCTATTTGTCACAAAGAAGCAGCTATGTCAATTTAGCTGAATAGACCGATCCAGAGTGTACATCACAATTAGCAATTAGCGGTTCGACCAATGAGAGAGTGGCTTCATGTTCGTAAAATATTTGCATATTTATGTTTTGACGGAGGTGGGCGGGGCTTAAGGATCGGTCTATTGAGTTGTGACCGTCAGACATAACATCAATCTGTTATACTTACACCAATAAAATATTACCTCGCACACTTGCTAAACGTTGTATACACTTATAAAACTCTACTTAATTATAAAGTTAAATTGTGATTTATTTCTTTTATTTCTTTTTACCTTGTCTTCCGTGGCGTGAGGGTTGTAGTGGTAGATATTCTTGAGATGACGCCGCGCCACTGCGTACACTTTACAGTGAAGAACGCTCACCACAAGGACCAGGACTGCGACGAAAGCGATGCCGCAAGCCAGGTCAATCGGCCCGGCGAAGTCAAAAGTGCAGTGCGCAGCGTTGGGTAAGAAATGGTACCTGGAAAGAAAAATAATTATAAACTAGAAAGGTAACATTTGCAAAGCAAATGCATAATGTTTACCTTCGCATATGGTCTGCTCTGCTAATTCTTACTCAAACACGTTCATAAATGGTGACAGAAGTCTAAATTCCTCCTACAATAAAATTGCAACATTACGTAACCCAACAGTTACCATGGTGACAATGAAAATGAGTTTGGAACGGAAGAAGAAACAGAGCAACAATATATCCTTCGGTAAACATAACTAAGGAAAAAATTATATTTTTATCCGCTAGATCTAATAATAATATATTAATATTGTGAAAATCAAGCTAGCAATCTCTTGCATCGTACCTACATTTGTAGGAGGGATGTAATAAAATATCATGAAAAATGTGATTTTCCTGAGGCAGCATAATAATGGCCACCGTATGTGGTCTATCCCATACATCCCATGCATTTATATCCCCAATTATCCTTTACTGTGTTTTCATGCTGTTGCCAGGCTACATTACAGGCTTTAACTCGTACCCTCAAGGCAGCTCAAAATAAAATGATAAGAATAATGAACTGTGATATATATATATATATATAGGAGAAAAAATGTCAGTACATCCCCGAAGGTAGAGCTTCATTTGGAAGTTTAAATCAGGTTATGTTTTATTGCAAATTCGTGCCCGGAGGCTAATTGCAAATCATAAACATACAACAGTATTGAAACAGATTATATTATTATACAATAGTATCTACATGATGAAAAATACTTGACTAAAACTATAGCTATGTCTGAAGGGTTTGACTTCTCTTTTGTAAACCATGGAAGACGTAATGTCCCACCTTTTCTAAAATTTGTGGGTTTTGGGAAGTTAACAGAAAAATAGTTTTTTCATTGTCTGTAAGTTTGAGAAATTGGGATAAATTGTAGAAGTTTGAATATACCAGACGTGATGTACTGTGCCTAAGGTTTGCTCGTTCTCTCACAAGCAGTGAGAAATACCGTACGTGCTTGGCTGCCATCACAGAGGGGGATGTCCACAATAGAACACTTAGGAACAGTACGAAACTGACAGTGCCGGGCACGGCATACATGTATGCTAAACAGTACCCTACCAAATTGTGTTCGCCTGCTGAATGACAATAAATGTTAATTAATGTTATAACAGAATTTGTGATATACTAGTGATTTGCTAGGATTTGTGACTTATTATTAATTCTTATTTGTAATGTGTAATGCTTAAGTCATGATAATATTTGAAGGACATATTTGTGTACAGAAACCGCAATTCAGCACTGGTGCTACAACGTTTTTCTAATATTGAATAAACCACTCTCTCTCTCTCTCTCTCTCTCTCTCTCTTTTCTCTCCAACAACGTGCAATCACAGAGAAACATCGTCTGAGAAAACCTCACCTTTTGTGTTCGAAGATTTTGGTAGAGAAGCTGAGGACAGGCAGGATCCAGGCAGCACCAATCATGGCGACGCACAGCTTCGTTCCTATGATGCTCTGGTACCTTTTGAATATTATAGAAAATAGACATCTATAAGAAAAACCATCAAGTCTACTAGACACTGTATGTGCTATTTAGTAGATTAGATGGAAAGTCATGTCTAGTGATTAAAACATTCAGAAGACCGGATGGAATCCTAGTTCAGCACCAAGGACGGAGTATGGAGTTGTATTGGAGATACCACTTTAAATTCGCTGACGACCAAACTGTTTGCCTCAATTGTATAATATGGAAGGTAGTACAACACAAAGTGGTAACGCACTCAACTAGCTCATACTTATTTTTGAATGAAAGGGGCTTAATAATATCCTTATAGTTTGGTACAATTCGGCACTATAAAGACACTATCCTTTCTGGTATCTCCATCAATCGCTCAGGTTGAAGATCTCGTTACAAGAATACAACAAAAAGTGTCTGTTCCTTGTTCTTCGTCAGAAGAACCAAGTGGACATTCGATAAGGCCCAATGAATACTGATGAAAAATTTTCAGTCACAGATGAAGCGATGTGTCTTTTGTAAGCCAACGTAGTCATGGTAGTAAAACATTTCAAAGAATAAGTCAGGGAATCAGACACTGGACAAGTCCATTTCTAAAAGCATTCTTACTCAAACACATTCATATATATATCTAGTGACAGTAGTCTACACCCCTCCTTATATAACCCAACACCAGTTACCATGGTGAAAGACGGTCTGGTTCAGGTCATTGACCAGGTCAGTGTTTGGAACAGAAGAAGAAACAGATCAAAAACAATAGTTTTTCCTTCGGTAAACGGAAAAAGGACGGCACACGTGAAGCCGTGGAAGTCTTACTTCATGGCGTGGACGATGAGGATGTACCGGTTGACGGCGAGGGCGACCAGGGAGAAGGTAGACGCCAGGGCGGAGACACAAGAGAAGAACGCTGTCAGCTGTAAGAAACAAGAAACTTTAACTTTAAAAATGTCACAGAATACTAAATGTTTAGCCAGTACATGAACACAGTCTTTTAAAGATAAAAAAACAGCTTCCAGTTTAATTCCGGACTTCCAGTTTAATTTGGGACTAATTCCCATATCTCAGCAACCTTATAATACATCTAGATGGGCCAATATCATAAACTATAAGTAAAAATAATGTAAGAAATGTGTAGACGTATCAGCCATTGAGGACCCCTTGGGGATTAACCTGCAGAATTCTGCAGAATTCTGAGAATTGCAGCCAGAATTCTACAGAATTGGGTTAATCCCCATATGCTACATATTTTTTCGGTAAACATATTGTTTTTACTCAATTTCCTCTTCTCCAAACACTAACCTCTGACCTGGCCAATGACATGATTTGTTGATGTCTGTCACCATGGTGACTGGTGTTGGGTTACATAATGTTGCAAACTTCATGGTCTGCTCTGCTCCTGTCACCATATATATATTAGTAGTACATGTATGTGAATATGTTTGAGTAAGAATTAACAGGGCAGACCATGTCCGAAGGTAAACATTATGCATTTGCTTTGCAAATGTTACTTCTCTAGTTTTACATAATTTTCACCTATGGTTTACAATATTATCCCATCTAGATGTACACAATGTACGGTTGCTGGGACATGGGAATTATTTCGGAATTACACTGGAAGTCCGGAATTAAAGTGGAGGCCTAGGATTACTCAACTAGTAGGAAATTTCATCCTTTCAAAATCTTCGAACATATGGCAAGGTGGTCTTACGGTTAGGGTTGTTGACTAAAAATCTAAACGTTTTTGGTTTGCATGTATCACTATAGCAGGCAGATGTCTGTATATGATCTTTATTACTTTTGTCAGAAGGTTATGTGTTTAGGTACACCATACATAGGGGTTGCTGTTTTTTTCAATCGGTTATAACTTTGGGTGTACGTGGTGCATGTATCTGTATGATATTTGGTAGGTAGGATGAGGTTGGGAAAAAGAAGGTCAAGGTCAATTTCGTGTACTCTAGCGGTTGTGTAAGGTACTGTATCGGGGTACATTGGTATGTTATCTCGTGCTGTGGACGTGCTATGGTCTTGATTTTTGAGGGGGACATAGATGTTTGGGCAGTAAGTATCTGGCGTGGTTTTCAGCGAAATAGAAGTCATCGACCTCTTGTTATTATTATGATATCTGCACGCATGGCGACGGCAGATTTTATTACAAAGAGCTACCGCTCACGTATTAGTTCTTTTAAGAACATCTATGCCTACACACATACGTTAGACGCACTCATCAAACCAATGCACGCTAAAAAACAGGCAAAGTCAGGCAGAGATCTGAGCTTTATATGGGGAACTACAAAAGACAATATATTTCAGACCCTCCCGCTATTTTCCGTTATGGACTTCAGGGACCCTCCTCATAGAGTCTCAAGAATAACAAAAATATGACCGAGAATTACAACTAGTATATCGTCAAAAGCGCGCTATCACAAAATAAGCGTATTCTAGAGCATTGGCCCTTCTACAAATATTTGCGATTGCTACCCAGATAATTCGGATTAAGATATGGACATATAGGTTTTATAATTCCCTATAGCAAAGGATCACTAGTTTTGCAGACCAAAAGGTGTGTTAATTCAACACCTATCATACATACATGTACAAAACATAAGCCGATTAGGACAACCTCAGTCGCTGCACAAAATCCATTAAAGCATGCGTAAGGAGTGATTAAAATAGGATTCCGTGCAGTGAATGTTCGAACCTCTACCCTGGTTCCCTGGTTTTGTCATGCAAGGATTATAAAATACGATATCGATTCACGCAATTTCAAATGCTCTTTCTTGGTGTGCATATAATGAATGAATAAAAGACCTTTATTGTACGTTTGCGCTCTTACAAGCCGAGTACAGGTCATGGATAAACAGGGAAAAAGAAAACAGCAATAACACAATTCATACCAATATGATCTAATATTTACAGGTTTAACTTCTTCTCACTTCTTGAGGCAGTTATAGATGTTTGATAACACCTACCATACAGAGCGTCTGTCCGTACGTCCAGTGGCCTGTCCAGGCCGGCCGGACGCTGAAGGGGATGACCAGGAGACCCGGTAACATGTCGGCGCACGCCAGGGAGACGGTCAGGTAGCCCGTGTAGTTCCTCAGCGCCGCGGACCTCAGGATCACCACCACCACGAAGACGTTCCCCAGGACGAGCCCCAGCCCGATCAGGCTGACGAGCGTCGCCTTCAGTTCGGCGGGGAGCACCTCGACCCAGTCCGCCAAGGGCACAGACGCCGTCCCGTTAGAATCGTTCGCAAGTTCACCAGATCCGTTCATCTTTGCTGATCACCTCACCTCACCTCACCTATACCTTGATTTCGTTGAGGGTATTTAGAGCACCGTGACTTGATCCACTACCCTAGCTCTACCACTACACTACCCTGTCCTCCGCCGCTCTTATGGCTTCAGCTAAGCTCAATCCACTCTTTGATGTTGTCTTCCCACCTCTTTCTCTGCCTACCGCTTTTCGAAATCTGTTCCGTTGCTCGAAAAACAAGACACTTAGAATTAACCTGCCAAATATTATGCCAGCGGGCGACTCGATACTACTCGTCACCTTGAAACATCTGGACGATTAGTTTTGAAATGACTCCAAGAGTTTGCAAGAGGAGGGATGAGTGGATGCACTTGCTCTAACCAGACGACAAGTATTCCCAGCCACGTGTCGTTCGTTCCCAGCGGCGAATGGGCCAACAGGTCTTTGATGACAACTGACACACGTCACGTGTACTAGTAATCACGTTATTTTCACGTTTTTTTTCGCGTTTGTATGTAAGGCCAAAGCAAGAAAATTTTATGGATGACATCCTCCGCAGACTCCAAATCTAATGCGAGAAGGCGAAAAAACAAGGCGGACCAAAAAAAAAACAAGATTCCTACATTTTCAAATTTTGACATTATAAATCTTGTTAAACAAGAAATGACACCTATATTGTGCTATGTTTACAGCCAACTATTACAGCATCGATTTGTCACTGATACAACTTTGAAAAATAAAGGTTTTCAATCATTGTACAAATGGTTTTCATTCAGTGGGAACATCACCTATACACAGCTACTATCACATTTAAAAGAAAGGAAATACATCACTGCATGAAAGTAAAAGACAAAACAATAAATCAGAGCCTTTTCTTGTCTCCTCTCTTCATATTTATCTGCCACATACGTTCCGGCATGGCAACAGACATCTTTGCAAATTTTCGGCATATGTTGACCATATGTTGAAGGCAACAAAATTTCTTGTTTTTTTTTGTGTTTTTTTTTTTTCAAAATCAGACGAGTTAATGCGCGCGCTGATGTCATCCATAAAAATTACTTGCTGTGGCCTTAACAAGTATTTTGTCGCGTTTGTATGTAATCACAATCACCCGACAAAATGATTGACTCCAAAAGCAACCGTGCTCAAGGAGCTTTGCTGACGTCATAATGGGTCACTGACGTCATCATCTACGTCACTGCTGCCAAGATACAAGCCAAGTCAAGTCAATCTTTATTGCACAACAATTGTAACGGGTACAATGTATGGCAAACTCTTCAGTACTACATATCTCATAAATTGTATGTTCGCATCATAGATAAAACTGATAAAAGGTACAATAAGTCTGGCGGAGAGAGAACTATCTTGTATAGGATGTCGGTTGTCGTTTGAGACTCGAAACCTACAAGCATTTCCAAGAATCAAGCAATCAAAATAGATCGTTCATTTTTCATGTGAGTCATGTGAGCACTAGGTTGAATGGCCCCACTTCCTGTATCTGTATCTGTATAGCCGGTATAACCGCCCTTCGGCATAACACACCGGTTTCACAGGCACGCGGCGCGGTGGCAGCTTGCTATATCACACCGAATCCTTGCATATTTAATTGCAGGAGTTGTTTAAAGGTCTCTAGTGCGTAGATGCCATCCATGTAATCAAATCAGCATGGCCTATTATGCAAAAGTCCCTTTCTCTAACATTTAGGCAAACAGGTTGGTCGTCAGCGTTATTTCTCAACTCTATACTCTGTCCTTGGTGCTGAACTAGGAATCCATCCGGTCTTCTGAATGTTTTAATCACCAGACAAGATTTCCCATCTATTCTACTAAATGGCACATTTAGAAGTATATGATTTTTCCTTAGGCCACACCAATTTGATTTGTTGGTTCTCGGATTTTTCCAGAAAAGATATGAAGCAACAGGGCGAAAAAAAATAAAAACAGGGTTAGGCATCCTATTATAATGCAACAATAGGAACCATGGAGTCAACACGAAAGGCTGGGTTAATACTTAATGAATTTCGAACTTTTAATCAAACCACTGGCACTGTATTGATAGATGGAAAAACCGTAACGACTAGGAAGAAAAGGACTTTCCTCAACTGTTGGGGGCAAAATATGAGCATTTTTTTAGTTGATTTGGATTTTTTTTTTGCAAATCAGAAAAAAAATGAAGAGGCGAAACCAAGAACCAACAAATTAAATTGTACCTACAAAAACAAACAAGATATCTCCACATGTTAAACTCTTTATTTTTACAGGTATTTAGATGCAATGTTAAAATATTACATGCATAATGTATACATCAATAAACAAATGCTTCAAGTTAATATTTTTACACATATTCCATTTCTTACCTATCATATAATGTTATGGCAAAATAGCACATTCGGTATTTCCTAAAAAATTGTGACAGCAAAAATTGTTGGTGCAGCATTTTATGATTGAAGCTATATTTATAGGACAGTATTTGCCGGCTAAAACTACAATCTAACCCTTATTATGCCACTTCAGTATATCTGCTTTCAGCATAGAGTTTGGAACCATGATGCTCACACTTTCGTAGCACAAAGAAGAAGTTGCAAGTCTTATTTGTGAGGACTGCATAAACTGTGTATCCAACAATATGTTTTTCATTGATTTCATACAAAATTTGTACGATTGTACCTTTTTGTAGTAAAATAAACGTCTGAATTTCGATGAGAGCATTGTGTTGTCATGATTTGTCAACATTTTAGGGCACCATGGCCAGAACTTCATTATGTCATAGGGCCACACAAATTTGATTTGTTGGTTCTTGGATTTATTATTTTTTTTGATTTGTAAAAAAAAAAATTCAGGCTCTGAATCAACTCCAAAAGGCTCATATTTTGGTCCCAACAGTTGAAGAAAGCTCCTTGTCTTCCTAGTTGTTACAGTTTTTCCATCTTTTTATGCATTGGTTTGACAAAAAGTTTAAAATTCATTGTTTGCATTGTAAACCGGTCTGGTAGAGCTTGTAGCTTTTGGGGCTATCATAGGATGCTTAGGCCCGTTTTATTTTTTTTCCTCTGTCGCTTCAGATTTTGTCTGAAAATTCAAGAACCAACAAATCAAATTGGTGTGGCCTAGAGATGACATTATTATGATAAATCTCATTTGAGAGAAATTTAGTACCTCAGGGTGCAACTTTACATCCAACTGTATGCAGTTTCTAAGACTAACATTAACACGACTCAAAACATTGTATTTTTCCCGAGAAGGCAAGCACATAACACATACATTTTGTATTTGCCTGGGGTTGCTTGGTTGGGTTTCCAAGGAAATCCCAACTGTTGTTACAATACATGTACCTTACTCTACATTCAACATGTTAAAAATTTTACAGTGTTTGATGACAGAAGACAGTAGGAAAATATTCTAGCAGTATCTTAAACATAGTTACAAGTCATGCAGCATCTTTTAAACATTAATCCATCAAAAATATCATCACAATAGTACACTCTGAATGTTGTGTAGAAAATTGAATATTTTGCGTAACGTAACCTTTTAACTTTCTTGACATTTTTGACAGAGAAACAAAATGAGATATATTAAGTACTTCTTGAATGTGAACTTTACAGTAACTGCTTCTTTCAATCTGTATTATTTTACGTTCATCTAGGTTTCTCTGCTGAGAAATATTTTCATTGCTTGCTCTTAGCCTTAGCTGGTGAATGCAACTCAAAGTAATGTTTTCTCTTATATTTAATGTACCAAACTACAATATACAGACTTTTGAATTAGCTATCAATGTACACTACAATATTTGTAAGAATAATTAGATTTTCTTCTTCTTTCCCTAATCTATTTTTTAGTACTTCTTAAGTCAGTGCGGAAGCCTTCCTAGATGACTTCTTGGTAGCAAAGTTAAAGAATGGAAGGATGATGGAGCGCTTTTGCTTCACTTCTGCAAAGACTTCTTTGGATGATATACCTCTTGGGAGAGAGACGTGTTGAAGACTCGGCTCTGATACCTCATACTTCTTTGACATGCGTCGATAGTCTGCAAAAAAGGAGTCAGAGAATTTTTTATTTATGCTAGTAGATTTATCCTTTATATATATATAGGGTTACCCACAAATGGTTAGATAAAAATAAGTGTAAACTAAAAAGTTAACATTTGCAAAGCGAATGCATAATGTTAACCTTCGTATATGGTCTCACTCTGCTCTGTTAATTCTTACTCAAACACATTCATATATATGGTGACAGGAGTCTAAATCCCTTCTACTATAAAATTGCAACATGATGTAACCCAACACTGGTTACATGTACCATGGTGACAGACCATTGAAAGGTCATTGACCTTTTTGCGTTTGGAACGGAAGAGGAAACAGCAAAAACAATATGTTTTCCTTCGGTAAACATAATGACATTTAGACAAATGGAACAAAGCCTAAACAGGTTTTCAAAAGGAACCTTATCACTTATATACTAGTATTAGCTTGATATGTCAAAATCTTGGGCTCCGTTTTGAACTCTAAAGGTTTTTAGGAAAAATTGTATAAAGACCTTTTGCTACAAAATGTCGCTATGCAAAGAAAGGGGTTTCCAATAAGCACTTAATATGTAGTTTTTTTTACAATATACATTGTACATGGGTTTTAGAAGATTCTTTGTACCTTTATGATACAGGAGTTTTCATTTACACAATCAAAATTTCTCACCTAAGTGCTGATGTTTTGGTCTACATTGGCTACATACAATGTATAGCAGCAAGAAGCAGAATTCCAGTCAGAAGCTCTGACGAAGGTGTCTGATAGACACTGAAATGTTAGCACTTATAGGTGAGAAAATTTTGTTGTGTAAAAGAAAACTCCTGTATCCTATACTTTTCCAACCTGATGAAACTATTTTCGGAAGTTTTTGGCGATGTCCCAGGGAGGAGCCTAATGGTACAGTATTGTGTGCAATTTGCAAGAATTCTAGGAATGGTACAGGCATTTTGTCCACAGGCATGCAGAATGTCCACAGGCATTTATCTGACCCACATCCATGCCCACATTCCTGGAACCCTTGCGAAGACCTCTCGGCCCCGGATGGCCCTACTTTCTGTGACCCCGGGGCTCTTTCACTATACACTCAGGGGAGGAGTACACTGTATCTGTCTAGACTTAACAGATACCAAGTCTTCCTCAAAATCATGAAATGATGGCAGTGCTATGCAAACAATAACCCTAACAGCAACCACCGTCGCCATGGCAATGTATATTTTCATTGCCAGTCTTGTTGTACCTTTGTGTTTCAGATTCTTGACTTACCTGCTCGAGGCTTGCTTGGTTTGTTGCGGAATGACTTGTTCATGGCGTTCTTCCTTACATCCAGGGGGATCTCAAATCCTTTCTTCTTATCCTCTGCTACTTTCTCCCGCTCCTCCTGGAAGGCTTCTTCCCAGCGCATCTTCTGCTCGGGAGTCTTCAGACATAGGATGTATGTTTTCTCCTTCTCCATGTCGTAGAGTTTCAGAGCATTCTTCACCGAGGTTTGGAACTCTTTGTCTGAAATAGAATAGAATATTAGCTTTTTCCAGTACTGCCAGTTTTGGTTACATTGGTCTCGTATCTATATGGGCAGACATTTGTACTAGTTACATGACTTATAATAGTATTTATATGATACCCAGGCCTCAATAATGTTTGATGACAGGTTCTGGACTGATCAGTACTTTACGGTACGGCCCGGGCTTCCATGGCTTCCATAGAACGATTCGAACGCGTTTCACTCTAACCGCGTGCGCCGCTTTCTAAAATTCGAATACAGAATTCGGACGTTAGAACTGATGTTGTTGCATTTTAGGGCTTAGGGGCACCAACTTTTGGCACATCTTGTATTGAAAGGCGTGTTTTCTTGGGTGGGTATGACATAAATAAAATACAACACGATGTTCCGCATCACCCTCGGTCCCAGCCCTCCCGCGGATTGGATCTCCCTCCGGCCTTCGGGTGATCTGACGCGCGGTCGGGCCGATACCTCGAGCGATACGGAATACCCCGTGTTGTATTCTATATATCTAATAGTGATGATTCAGTCATTCATAATGATGCATTGAATGGAAAATTTAAAAAGTGGACATACCTTTTCCATCAGGAATAGGTCTGACTTGACACGGGCCAGTCAACATCCTCTCTTTATATGCAACACTGTCTCTTTTCAGTAGATCCTGTAGGAAATAAACAGCAAAATCATGATAAAGGGTTTATTAAGTTCACCATGTTTAAAGTTCATGTTGGGAATAGGGAGTGCAGTAGCCTCTACCAGGCACCGCGGATCGCTGGAAAAATAGTAGAAATTGGCCAAAATAAAGGGATAGTATGCCAGAGAAGATCCAGGGCCATAGAAGCTCCAACG